GGGCCCGAGGCCGCTTTCACGAAACCACGTTCGTTTTGCTAAAGGGGGCGCTGCCCATGCCCGAAGAAAGAGAGAGAGAGAGAGAGAGAAAGAGAGAGGATGAGGAGGAGGAGGAGCAGGAGGAGGAGAAGGAGGAGGAGGAAGAGGAGAAGGAGGAGGAGGAGCAGGAGGAGGAGGAGGAGGGAGGAGGAGGAGGAGGAAGAGGAGGAGGAGAGGGAATGGAGGAAGAGAGGGGAGGAGGAGGAGGAGGAGGAGGAGGAGGAGGAGATGGAGGAGGAGAAGGAAGAGGGGGAAGAGGAAGAGGAGGAGGAGGAGGAGGAGGAGGAGGAGGAGGAGGAGGAGGAGGAGGAGCAACCACCGTGCCGATCACATCTACCACATCCTTGTTTTGCGGCGTGCAGGGGCGTGCGAGAGAGGGCGGCTGCCCCCCTCCCCCCCCCCTCCCGACTTCCCCCTCGGGCGCTGCACGCGCGGGAGCGTGCAGGAGGGCGGCAGCCTGCCCCTCCGCCCTGCTTGCGAGAGCAGGCTCGGTGCTGTGTGCGTGGTGGCAGGGAGGGAGGGAGAGAGGGAGAGAGGGAGAGAGAGAGAGAGAGACAGAGAGAAACAGAGAGAGAGAGAGAGACAGAGGAAGAGAGAGAGAGAGATATATAGATATATAGATGACAAAAAGCAGCGAGAGAGGGGGAGAGAGAGACAGCAACCGCTCCCCCCTCCCATCTCCTCGTCTGCGTGTGGGGTAATGTGCGGAGGGCGTGTGGGGTAATCGCTGCTCCCTCACGCATGGCCCACTCTGCGTTGCGTGGGGGGCGACAGAGCGAAAGAGAGAGAGGGAGAGAACATAAAACATCAGTGAAAGAGAGAGAGGGGCAGAAAGAGAGAGAGAGAGAGAGAGAGACAGAGAGCAACCACTGCCCTTACCATTTCCCTCATGCTTTTTGTGTATGCTGGGTGCGAGGGAGAGCAACCGCTCCCCCCATCCCCAATGGGTAGCAGTTGCTCAGACTCTGTCGTTGTGTGTGTGTGTGTGTCTCTCTATCTCTCTCTCTCTCTCTCTTCTATCTCGCGCAGCTTATGCGCAATAAGGGGCAGTGGTTGATATCTCTCTATCTTTCTCATTCTCACCTTTTTTCTCTATCTCTCTCTCTCTCTCCCTTTTTTTTGTCTCTCTCTCTCTCTCTGCCACTCGCATTCTACACAACACAGAGCGGACAATGGAAAGTTGCAGTGGCTACCCTTTTCTAACCTTCGACGCGCAACGCACAGGAGGAAATGCGAGCTCCCCCTCTCGCTCTCTCTTTTGGTGTCTCTCTTTCTCTCTCTCTCTCTCGATATTTATATATATATACATATTGTGAGAGAGAGAGAGAGAGAAACAACAAAAATAACCCACCCCCACACCCACCAGGTTTATTTTTACATGTTTTCCGGAACGCTTGCGGACTTAGTCGGTACGCCCCCACGGCGACGATTGCGAGTCGCGACGTGTCCGGTCCTACAACTCGTTTTACGAAATCGTGCTCAAATGTATGAAACAGTTGTTGCGTGTTTTCTTTAAACGCCTTTTTGCGTTTAGAAGATGGCGCCGTTGCACGTACGCGATGGCGGGGGGGGTTGCTTGGGTCGCCTTCGCTCTCTCTCTTTCATTTTGTTTGTCCCTCTCTCTCTCTTTCTCTCTCTCTCTTTCTCTCTTTCTCGTTCTCTACCTTTCCCCACGGGCGCAACGCCGTGAGCGAGCTGGGGTTGGGAAGTTGCTGTTCCCTTCTGGCAGGGACACGCGGCTGCTGCCCTACACCCCCGCACATCTCGCGAAGGGGAGGCAGACGTTGCCCTCTCGCACTTTGCGAGTCGGTGGGACGTAGTTGGGGGCAGAGCAGGAAACGGACAGGGTGGAGTGGTTGTTCTCTGCTTCTCTCTCCCCTTCTCTCTCTGTTCTTTTTGTTTATCCTTCTACGACTTTATAGATTTAGTTGGTTGTGTTTATCTTTCTTTTTTATATGTCTCTCTCTCTCTCTTCTTTTTCCCTCTCTCTCTGTATACATACAAACATATGTAATGTGGGCAAGCGATCAAGAAAATGACACCCCCGTCCCGGGGAGCCCAACATAAATGAGCGGGGCAGACTCATGATTAAGCCGCCGGAAACAGTTTTTGCTTATCATCTGCCCCCCTAACATTTTATGTTACCACCTTACGGAAATTGATTTCGATGTGCCTTCCTGCGTTCGTTTGTTCACCCGCGGCCGCGGGTGGAGGGTTGCGGACAGGGGGCGCAGAAAGCGCCGCTAGGGAGTGCCAGCGCAGATCCAGGAAATCCACGGAGGACCGCCGAAAGTTCATGTGCATGCAGTTGTTCCATCCCCGACTTAACGACCAACCTGAGGACGGCCCAGCTGTCGTCCTCACGGTCGGCGGTTGGAGATTGCTGCCGCGGGAGCGGCGTGTCGGAAGAGCCGAAGAAGTTCGGACTGATCAACAGATCTGAACACCACATTCCCCCAATCTTCTTCAAAAGCACAGCACGCGTGAGGATTCGATCCGAGCGGAAGCTTGAACATGAGGCCAGCGCTACATCGGGAACAACATGTTGGAAGAGCCGAACACGTTGCGATTGAAACACTGAGAAGCGGATTCGCGCCCAACGTGTGTGTAATTAACAGACACAAGTGCGTCTGGGGATACCTGGGAATAGCATTCAAATTGAAAAACTGTAGAGGAACAGTAATTAGCAGGGGGACGGTAACGAGGTACAGAAAAGCGAGGAGAAGGAATGGTTCTTCCATTCTATATATGCATCTGTAATTGGCTTTCAACCGTATGGATACACATAGATCTTTTAAATAAGGAAAAATCGATTCAACCATTTGTCTACTGTGCGTTCGGCGGTGGGCGAGCGCAAAAACTGACAAGGAAAAGGCCTTTTCCAAGAGTCGGCGTGACTTCTCAGAAGCCCTCGCGCCTTCTGTGAAGTTGGTTCCTTCCGAGAAGGCCGCTCTGTCTTCGGGGAAGGCGTAGAGCACTTCTCAGAAGGCTGGGGGGATCCCGAGCCTTCTGAGAAGGCCCGCCCCTTCTCTTTTCCCCCCCTTCCGCGCTCGCCCCCACTACGTTGCTTTCCACACATGGCTTCCTTCTCATGTTTATGTATATATACACATATATATGTCTATATATATATGTATAGACTACGCACATATACATGCGTTTATTCATATTATCAGCCGATCGTCGGCACATCCAGATCTCTAGAGATCTACATACACGCTGATATAATGTTTCGTTGTTCAAACGACATATATATATGTGTATATATATATACATACATACATGTATATATGTATATAGATATATATATATATATAGATGTCGTTGCTGGTCTGACGAGTCGCGGGACGCGAGGGAAGGGGATGGGCTTCCGGCAGGGGAGGTCCAAGGCGGGCTGAAGCAAAACACGGGGGCTGCTCCGCCGGCGGAAGCTGGCGGCAGGAGGAGATGCCTCCCCAGGGACCCCTCCTCCTCCTCCTCCTCTCTTCCACCCTCCTCCTCCTCCTCCTCCTCCTCCTCCTCCTCCTCCTCCCCTCCTCCTCCTCCTCCTCCTCCCTCCTCCTCCTCCTCCTCCCTCCCCTCCTCCCCCTCCTCCTCCTCCCTCCTCCTCCTCCTCCTCCTCCTCCTCCTCCTCCTGCTGCACCTCCCCCTCCTCCTCCTCCCTCTCTTCCTCCTCCTCCCCCTCCTCCTCCTCCTCCTCCTCGTGCTCCTCCCCCTCCTCCTCCTCCTCCCTCTCTTCCTCCTCCTCACCCATCCTCCTTCTCCTCCTCCTCTTCCTCCTCCTCCTCCTCCTCCTCCTCCTTACTTCTTTCCGGGCCGACCGCCGTGCTTGCTGGTCCGGCCGCCTTCTCGGGTTCCGGGTTGCCGGAACCAGCCAGGCAGTCGGCGCTGCGTTTGCCTCAGTCTGGGCTGTGTTCTTTCGGGTTCGGTCTCCGCGGCCCGTCGTCGGGCCCCAGTCGCCGAAGAGCTCCAAGTGGATCTGTAGCGACACATTGGCCTCGGGCCAGGTGTTTGGACCTCTGGGGCGGCGCGTGGAAGCATTACACAGTGGAGGCCCATGCCAAGAAGCACCCTGGTCGCCTCCAGGGTGCCCTGGATTTCTTGGGTTTCGACGGTTTTCTGGTGGAAAGCGTGACGTTCCCACACCAACAATCAGTGGACGTCCTGGGGTCTCAGGGTTGGTTTTCTTGTGGAAGGTTTCCTGTGGGCGAGCTCCTACTGTACCCACACTGCGGCTGCCGCGCTGGAGTCGCCGCAGTCTTCACCTCTTCCCGAGCTCCCTTCTCTCGTGTTGCGCATCGCCCTCTCGCCACTGCGCTCATCCCGTGTCGAAGCCTCACTCTTGGGGGCCTGCGTTGGCTTTCGGAGGTCCCCGGAGATCTCCCGGGAGGCCCCCTGGGAGGCTCGAGGCGAGTCAGAGCGCAAGACAGTGCGGCTCTCGATCCTTCGCACCCGCAGCCAGTTTTGGCTCTCAAGGGTGAGGTGGAGCCTCGCACTACCTCCTATATCAGTGGCAACGCTCGGGAGCCTTAGGCTCCGGGGGGGGGAGGGGGAGGGGGAGGGGGAGGGGGAGGGGGGGGGAGGAGGAGGAGGAGGAGGAGGAGGAGGAGGAGGAGGAGGAGGAGGAGGAGGAGGAGGAGGAGGAGATGCAGCTTCCCCCAGTCGCCCACCCATCGCCGACAGAAGCCCGGCAGCCCGCCCCGCCCAGGAGCGGCGCGCTTCCTTCGCTCCCGGGGGCCCACACCGCCGATCCGTTGCCGATGCATCGCCGGTTCCAGCTCGATGCCTCCTCCTCCTCTTCCTTCTCCTCCTCCTCCTCCTCCTTCTCCTGCTCCTCCCTCCTCCTCCTCCTCTTCCTCCCTCCTCCTCCTCCTCCTCCTCCTCCACCTCCTCCTCCTCGTCCTCCTAGTCCCCCCCTGAGCTGATCCCCCCCGAGCGTTGCGCCCGATCGCACCCCCCCCATGGCGGCGGCTCCCGCCTGCCGGCACATGAACGAGGCGGCGTTGGCCGAGTCAATGCGTGAGCTGGCGGACGGCGTACGGCCGTGGGAGAGGGGCGCGTTCACCGCGGTGCGGAAGCTCCAGGAGCGGGAGGGCAGACACTTTCGGCTGCAACTTCTCCACCACCCACCAAACCACCCCAATCCAACCCGAAGGCCTGAATGTGCCCTCCACTTCCAGTCTGGGAGGGGGTCGGGTAACATTGAGAACACACGTGGAACCCGTACCCCCTTCCAACCCGAAATTCGGGTCACATTCGGGTCTTCGGGTTTGGTTGGGGTGGTCTGGTAGGTAGTTCTTGCTGGGAGGTCAAATTTTGACTTCCCCCCGGTCCGAAATCTGGTTTTATCCCGTTGCATTTGACGTACTCCGCAGGATCCGGCTTTTATCCCCCTGAATCAGAAGAAAACACGCCATAAACATAAATGTCTGGCGCTCCGCGCGAATTTCTTGGATCTGCGCTGGACCCCCCTTCCTGGCGCGCGCAGCGCGCCAGGGGCGGCGCCGGAGGCGCCGCCAGGATGGCCAAGCGAATCCAAGAAATCTGCGCAGAGCGCCACAAGTTTATGTTCATGTTTTGTTTCTCGGAGGTTGATAGACCTCCTACCCTGACACGCCGATGAAGGAATTGGCCGTTTTCGGTTCGCGAGAGGGCGTCGCGCCCGTCATTTTTGCGGGTCCAGGTCCGTCGGTTTCGGTCCGAGGCCGTTGTCACTAGAGGGTGGTTTACTAAAGGGAGGTTTGTTCACCGCCGATTTTCTTCGATGGCAGCTAGTTTCTTCCACCAGGCAAACGCTGGGCCATCAGATTGTGAGCTGCCCTTGCCTTGTGCCCTGGCGGACACACGCCTCTGGCCAGCGGCACTGCTCTAGCCGATGTGTCGTGCAGACACGGCTCGGGACGACCGACATGGGTACGGAAAGAATGGGTACAATGCCCAACAGCAGTTCCTGCTCATTTTGAACAGGACTCGCTTTCCACGCCGCCGCGGCCTGTGTCTATTTGAGACAGAAGGCCGCCTGCCCAACAGCGGCCGCTGTTGGTTTGGGGCAACATTCGTTGTTGGGCATTGTACCCATTCTTTCCGTACCCATTTCGGGCGTCCAAAACGGCGTCATTGATTGATTGATTGCGTCAAGACGCCGACAAGTCGTGGCCATTCCTGAGAGGATCAACGGAAAAACGCAATGTGCCGATTTTCTCCGCCCCGACGTCACCGGTGCGATGCGCCGATGCGCCGATGCGCGTCGGTGCTTCCCTCCAATGGCTCCATCGGGGCGGCCTCTAGTTGTCCCCATCCAGGAAAAATCTGAGGTTGATAGACCTCCTACCCTGACACGCCGATTACGGAATTGTCCCTTTTCGGTTCGCGAGGGGGCGTCGCGGCCGTCATTTTTGCGGGTCCAGGTCCGTCGGTTTATTGAAGGGAGGTATGTCCACCGCCGAGTCGAGCGTGTCCCTTTACGGGAGGAAGATTCAAACATTGTAAAAAAATAGTCTCGGGCTTAGTGGGCTATGGAAACGACAGGGCCGTTTTTTTACCGGTTCCGTTTTGCCGTTTTTGTTGCCGGTTCTGTCGCCGTTTTTTTACCGGTTCAGTCGCCGTTCTTTTACGGGTTCCCGTTCGGGTTCCAATCCTGGAGCCGTTTTTGTTGCCGTTTCCGGTCGCCGTTTTTTGCCGTTTCCATGTTCAAGGAATTTGTTTTTCGGAAACGGTGAAGAAACGGCCCTGCCGTTTCCAGGGCCCACTAAGGTCTCGGGACGATTTCCTCATAGTTTTTGGAATATATGTTTGAAAATTGTATGTCAATTTCTGTCGTCCCCCATCCGCCTGTAGGAGGACACGCCCGACCCAAATCCTTACCTGGTCAGAGGATGATGAATGGACTCGGCTTGTGTTGGGGATTCGGTTTTCTGCTATGTATGGGGCCTATAGGGGGTCAGGCGGACAGCGACGACGACGACGACGAGGCCGACGAGGCCGACGAGGACGATGGGGAGGAGGAAGAACACGACCATCAGTGGGCGGAGGGCCAGCACCCCCAGTGCTACAGGGTGTGGGGTTTACAGCCAGCGTGCTGCCAGTGGTAGCACGATGGCCGCAGACTTCCAGAGGCCCGCGCGGAGCTCTTGGGTGTCGGCGTCGGCCCCCCCTCTCCCCGCGCATCCGGGCCCATCTTTCACCGTATCGCCTTTCAGCCCCTCCTCCTGCGCCCTTCCTTACATCCGTCCTGTCGGCATCCGCTTCCCCCCCCCCCGCTCCTGGGCGACAACAGAGAGGGATGGGAGCGAGACTGTCGCAGGACTTGTCCGCCGAGTGCGCGGGCGCCGCCCCGCCCACACGGCGCCTCGGGCGCGGCCCCCGGCGCTCTCCCCGCGCCGGGGGGGAAGGGGGGTTCGGCGGGGGTTCGGGCGGGGGGGGGTGGCGCTGCCTGCGCTCTGCTCTTCCTTCTTCAGGCGTCGCTGGGGCGTGTGCACTTTTGCCCTCGTCGAGGGCCCTCCTCCCCCTCCTCCTCCTCCACCTCCTCCTCCTCCTCCTCCTCTCCTCCTCCTCCACCTCCTCCTCCCTTCTCCTCCTCCTCCTCCTCCTCCTCCTCCCCTCCTCTTTCTCCTCCTTCCCCTCCTCCTCCTCCTCCTCCCTCCTCCTCGTCCTCCTCCCTCCTCCTCGTCCTCCTCCTCCTTCTCCTCCTCCTCCTCCTCCTCCTCCTGAGGAGCCTGCTCGGGTCGTCCGGCGAGAGTCCACGCACGAAGCCGAGAATCGGGCGGGGCATGTCCGTCCGAGCGCCGGCGAGAGTGGCCCCCCCCCGTGCAGGAGGCCTCGCGGAACCACGGCCGCGTCGACGAGATGTCGTACCAGGGACCCGCCGGGCGGGGTCCTCGCCCCCGCAGGGGCTGCGTCCTGCGGCCGTCGGAGGGGGCCTCCCTCGCGGTGGAAGAGCTACCGTCGGACCGCGGCATAAGATCGAGGCCGGCTTTGGGAGGGCGCCCCCATGCGTTCTGCGGCCGTCGGAGGGGGCCTCCCTCGCGGTTGAAGAGCTACCGTCGGACCGCGGTATAAGATCGAGGCCGGCTTTTGGAGGGCGCCCCCATGCGTTCTGTGGCCGTCAGAGGGGGCCTCCCTCGCGGTTGAAGAGCTACAGTCGGACCGAGGTATAAGATCGAGGCCGGCTTTGGGAGGGCGCCCCAGCGTTCTTCGTGCTTGCCGGACGTTCTTGTGCATCCTGGGGAGGGTACCCCAGGATGTTCTGTGCCTTTTGGCCGGTGGAGGGTCTCACGATCTTGTAGGATGTTTTGTTTGGTCTGGGTCCGACTGTAGAGGGCGCCTCACTGAAGGCTCAGACAGGTTTACTTGCATCTCGGGCCGCACGAAGGGTTGCAACATTTGTTGCATGCAGCTGGTTTCGGCCCCACCGATGGGGCTCATTCCTCGATACATGTCGCCTCTGGCGCCGGGAGGCGCCGGGAAAATCAGCTACGTGAGCTGATTCTCGAACCCCCCCTTTGCTATCCCCCCCTTTCGCCCGACCCGAGCACCGCAGTTTCCCCCCCCTCCTCCTCGCCATCCAGGGGCTCCTCTCTCAGAGGAGGAGAAGGAAACGATACCGCTGCCCTGGCCTCGTTTCTCCCTCTCTGGGCCTCCTCGTCGCCACCGCTTGATGCGCCTCAAGTCTCCGATCAGAACGCACCCCAGGAGAGGCTCGGGGCGTGGCGGAATCGGCACCTTCTGGTCTCCAGATTTCTGACTCGACTCGATTCGATGTCGATCGATTCCGATTCCGATTCTAGTCGATTTCGATTCGATTTCGATCGATTCCGATTTCTATTCTGGTCGATTTCGGGCTCCGATCTGAGCTTCGGATTCCCAATGGAGGCCCTGCTGGGCTGCCGGCCTTCGCCGACTCGACCTCTCCCGGCGTTGTTGTTGTTGCCGACTTGCGTGAAGTCGGGCCTGTCCCTCTACAGGAGCAACATTCAAAAATAGTCAGAAAAATAGGCAGGGGACGATTTTGGATTATTTTCGAGCATTTTTGATCAATTTTGGGGTATGTCTGATTTTTCGTCCGAAACAACCCTGTATAGGGGGGCACGCCCGACTAAGACTTGCGCCGATCGGATTCGTGCCGATCGCCGACCCGACCTGTCGATTCGACTCTGGGCGTTCCTGCCACCCCCTCTCCCCGGGGAGGTCAGGCGGGGGCCTCTCCCTCCCGGTCGCCCACGCGTCGCCGACACGGGGCCCCGACAGCCCGCCGCTTTCCAGCGGCGAGCGAGGGGGGGGGGAGGAGGTGAGAAGGGGCGGGCCTTCTCAGGAGGCTCGGAATTCCCCCGGCCTTCTCGGGAGTCTTCTTCTAGGCATCCCCCGAAGGCGCGGCTAATTTGTCTCAGCAGAAGGCTGGAGGGCGTCCGAGAAGCACCGCCGCCTTCCGAGGAGGCCTTCTCCTGCTCACTTTCCCCCCCCTCGCTCGCCGACGAGCCCAGGAGCGAGCGGCACCGCGGTCGGGGGCCCCAGCGCCGATGCTTCGGCGATGCCTCGCCGATCCCAGATCCCAGGTGGATGCGTCTCCCGGGCGCTCCTTGGGGAGGGGGCTCGCCACCGCTCCTGCGCGTGCTGCTGCTGCTGCCGTCCACGGGCCTCCCTGGTCCGTAGCCGGAGAGAGAGGCCTCGCGCAGGCCGCGCGGGAATTCGTCGGCGGCTGGTGGCCCGCGGCGGTTCCCCCATGAGGGCGGCGCCCGTTGCAGCGCCCCTCGGCCCTCGCTGCGAGCGCTACAAGCGACCCTCCTCCACCCCCTCCTGACTATGCTCTATCACGTTCCATTGCACTCCCACCAGATTCCCCTTGCGCCCCGTTGCATTCACTCATACAAATCACTAGATCTCACTGGGTCTCATCCCCCAACCCCCGAGCTCCACCCGAAAATTCTGGCCGTTCGGGAAAGGGGGGGGGAACACTGGAAGATTTCCCAGGGCGCTATTCGGACGCACCCCTATCGAGGATGGCCGCCCCCCATCGTATCTCCCAGGCCTGGGCCCCAAATTCTTGGACCCGTCGAAAGCCTCCCAAAGCCTGGGACAGGGGTCGACTGATCTAAAACAGGGCTAGGATCGGGATAAATCGCTCCAGAGCGTTCCAGAGCGCTCTCAGAGCGTTCCGGAACGCTCTGGAGCGGCCGCGGCGCCCAATGCATCCTCCAAACCCGCCGATTCTCAGAGATCTCGACTTATCCCGATCCGATTTTGTCCCGATCTTCGAGTCGTTTTAGGATCCCCCTGGCGCAGGAGAAGCGCGCGCGCGCGCCCGGAGTGCGGCGTGTGGCTTCGCGACGGGCCCCGCTTCCAGGCAGCCTCGGCGCGTGGCTTCGCGACGGGCCCCGCTTCCAGGCAGCCTCGGCGCGCTCCGTATATCCTAGTCTTGGGCCCTAAATTCTTGGTCCCGTCGAAAGCCTCCCAAAGCCTGGGGCAGGGGTCGACTGATCCCCTGTGAGGGCAGTGCGCGTGCCCGGAGTGTGGCGCGTGGCTTCGCGACGGGCCCCGCTTCCAGGCAGCCTCGGGGGGCGCGCCGTGGCCCGGGTCGGGCGGCGCGGGCCTCGTGCGCAGGCGTCGGGGGGCGGCATGCCTGCCCCGATGCGTGGCCCGCCGGGTCCACGGCCCCGTAGTTTGTAAAGTGGGGCCTGTCCCTCTACAGGGGGGATATCCAAAAATAGTAAAAAAATAGTCGGGGACGATTTTTTTTTATACTATTTTTGAGCACTTGGGGGTTATTTCTTTCGTGTTTTGATTGTTCGTCCAAAAGCCCCCTGTAAGGGGACACGCCCGACTCAACCGTAGTCTGTGTCAAGGCAGGCCAGCGGCGCAGAGGCGAGCCAGGACCTCGTGCCACCACGGCTGGCCACGACGCCGAGCGCGTGCCAGAGGCACACAGCGCACTGGCTCGGGGGTGGACAGTCCTCCTAGCCTGACACGTCGATTACAGTAGGGGTCTTGAAGAAGGAACCCTTTTCGTTGGGGCGGGGCTCGATGTTCCTTAAGTGTTTCACAGCTTGCCTCAGGTTTTCGTCATGTTTTCGATAGGGAATCGAAGTTTAACTTATGGAGAAAAGGGGCCTCGTTCCTTATTTAGGGTTCCTTAGGTCAACGCCTCGACTATAGTGAATTGGCCGTTTTCGGTTCGCGAGAAGGCGTCGCGGCCGTCATTTTTGCGGGTCCAGGTCCAGGTCCGTCGGTGTCGGTCCCCGGCCGTTTTCACGAAAAGGAGGTTTACTACAGGGAGGTTTGAAAACCGCCGACTGGCATGTACAGTCTCCGGGGCAGTCGGGCATGCGCTGCCCAGCGGGCCACTGGACTGCAGTCGGACCGAGGTAGCAGGTCGAGGTCGCATCGGGGAGGGTACCCTGAGGGTCTTCGTGCTTGCTGGATGTTCTTGTGCACCCTGGTGGAGGGTACCCCAGGATGTTCTGTGTCTTGTGGCCAGCGGAGAGTCTCATGTTCTTGAAGGTTGTCCTCCTGGCAAGGACCGGCCACAGCGCTGTTTAGCTCGGTTTGGGCCCCTGTTGTGAACGTCAGCTTGTCTGGGCCGTTTGTGAACGTGGGGCCCTTTGTCGCTGTTCGTCGTGAGCGACAGCTCGTTTCAAACATCGTTGTGGCCGGTCCCTGTCTCCTGGCCCAGGTCCGACTGCACTCGCCATGTCGGCGTGCCCCCCCCCCCGCCGACTGGAGCCCAGGGGGAGGGGGCGAGTCGGACGCTGGCCCCAGGCGCGCCGGGCGCGGCGCCCGCCGCCGCCCCTCGCCTCCTGGCTGGCCGGTCCCCCCGTGAGGGGGCCCTGCCTCCCCTTCTGCTTGCAGGGGCCGCATCCTTCTCTCCGCCATCCTCCTCCTCCTCCTCCTCCTCCTCGTCCCACATTCTCCCTGTTCTCCCCCTTCGCCCCGGGCCCCCCTTTTCTCCCTCTCCTCCTCGCCCCACCTTCTCCCTGTCTCTCCCTCCGTGCCCCCCTCCCCTGTTTGAGGCGGCGCAGCCGCCCCCCCCTGGCCCCCAGGCGGTCCCAGCGGGGGGACACTTGGCCAGGGAGACCGCGCGCGTCCCCGGCCTCACCCCCGCACCCGCCCCCCGCTCTTCCCCCGACGGGGCGCAGCGGCTACAGAGGCCGCCTGCGTCCCGAGCCAGATTGGCGCGCCCACACACGGCGCCCTTGGTGGCGGTGGCCCGTGCAGTCGGCCCGGAGTAGTAGGTCTACCCTGCCAGCTCAAGGGTAACCGTTAACCTTGTGTCCCGTGCCTCGCGACGCGTGCCCTCTTACACTCCAATGGCGATGTGGCCTTCGGGAGGGCCTTGTGTCCTCTCGCATGTCCTCTCCAATGGAGTCCGACTGTAGGCCCCAGGGTGCGGCGGTGCCCCGCTCCCGTGGTTCTCGGCGCCCCTGTTTGTGGTGCTCGGCGCCCCGTCGGTCTTCGGCGCTCCTTCGGTTTGCGCGGCGCCGTGCTAGTTTTCGGTGGCCTTTGGGTGTTCGGCGCCCTTCTGGTTTTCGGCGCCCTTTTGGTTGTCGGCGCCCTATTGATTGTAGGCGACCCTTTTTGGTTGTTTCGGCGCACTATTTATGTTCGGCGACCCTTTGGTTTCCGGCACACAACCATCCCGGTGGGCCCTTGACATGCAGATCCACCAGTGAGGTCGAGTCAGGCTTCACCACCGGACGCCGCTGGACCTTCCCCCCAGTCGGGCTCCACGGAGGGCCTCGCGGGGGCGAGCTGGCGTGCCCCTCCCACAGGCGTTCGGGCTTGCACCATATGATCCGGGAGAGGGCACGAGGATGTTCAATCGGGCTAGCCGCCTTCCGTGCACCAGGCCTGTCCTGTCCTCGCCCTTCCCCCCCCTCATCCTCCCGCGCGCCGCCGGACAAGAGGACTCCACGTGGCCGTGAAGCGCATGCCCAACTGGTGGGTGCAGGACGACCAGTGCGCCTTCCAGCGCAGGCACCGGCACCAGCTCGAGCGGCCCTGGGTGGACCTCGGCATACTTGCCGAGCTGCACAGGTCGCTGCGAGGGAGGACCAGACGTGTTCGCGCCGTGAAATCAACGCTGCGGAGGGTGTTTGGCCGGTGGAGCCTCCAGGGAGGAGCAGGAGCAGGAGGAGGAGGAGGAGGAAGAGGAGGAGGAGGAGGAGGAGGAGGGGGAGGATGAGGAGGGGGGGGGGGGAGGGGGAGAAGGATGAGGAAGAGGTCTTAGGATGAGGAAGAGGTCTTGGGATGATGAAGAGGTCTTAGGGCCGAGTGAAAAAGGGGGCCATCAAAACCAAAGGCCTACGTTCCAGGATTTCGGGATCCTCCAGCGGCCCTCGCTTCTGCGGCCCCTGCGGAGCGGGGTCCTCGCCGGGCCCAGAGACAGTCAAAACCAAGCCGGGATGAAGGCGCTGGTCTTGGTGAACCGTTAGGCACTCGAGGGGAACCAGTACTGAGCAGCCAGGACGCCGGACCTCCGGGAAGGTTCCGGCCTCTCGCAGAGGGGGGTGGGGGAAGGCTTCTTAGAAACACCCCTGTTTCCTAGAATGCGCGTGCCTTGTCTGTAGATCTAGGGCCGGTGCCTTTAAGAAGCGGCCCCCCTCCGAGAAGCCTTCCCCCATCCCCCTGCCCCGCAGTGCGCGCCGCCGATCTTCACGACGTGGAGTTCCAAGAAGTGTTGGGCCCCCTCCCAGGGACAGCTCCTCCACCGTGGGCAGTCTGTGCCGCTCCCTCGGCCCAGGGAGGGGACCCTGGGGCCTGACCACGGCCAAGCACCTCCCGGTCGCGTTTTTTATCTCTCTTCGCGGCGCGAGGGGGGTCTGGGAGCAGGGCTCGGGGGCCTCCAAGCGGGGGGGTGACCACGCCGTGCGGTGAGTCGGGGGGGAATTCGGGGCCACCGCGCGGTTTTGGGATTCGGGTCGTTCTCCGAGGATGCCTCGGGCGACGGGGGCCGCCGGGGTCCCGTGCCCGTGCGGTGACGGACCGTGCGGTGAGGGCTCGGGGCACTGCGAGGTCCCGCACGGCCCGGTCGCCGCACCGCTTCGAGACCCCGAGAGGGCACAGTACCCGTACGCGTGCGAGCTCATCGGCATCTTCCGGGACGACCGCTGCACCTACGTGGTGTCCTCCCTGGCCAGCCACGGGGACCTGTTCCTGTGGGCCGAGCGGGCGCCGCCGCCGGGCCCGGAGCGCGAGGCGGCGATGAGGCCGCTGGCCGCGCAGCTGCTGGACGCGGTGAGGCTGCTGCACGACCTCGGCGTGTCGCACAGGCAGCCGCGGAGCATAAAGTCGGGCCTGTCCCCCTACAGGAGGAGTATTCAAAAATAGTCCAAAAATAGCCTGGGGACGATGTTTATTTCATTGCTTGACTATGCTCGAGTGTTGTTTGACTTTTTTTTTGAACTTTCGTCCAACATCCGCCAGTAGGAGGACATGCGCGACCTAAGACAACGCAAACGGGCCCCTTGGCTGTTCGGTTTGGGGGCCCCACCTGCGCGCCACCCCACGGATCGGTTCGACTCCAGTTCGAATCTTGCTGGACTCCAGTTCGACTTTGTTTTCACTCAGGTTCGACTCAAGACCGACTCAAGACCGCCTCGAGTCGACGGACGTTCGACGCAGAATCGACGCATGAGCGGATCCAGTGGCTCCGGGAAGGTCCCGGGAACAGGCACCGAAGGATCGGGGGCGGACTGAACACCCAGCAGTGACACGTCGATTGGTGAATTGTCCGTTTTCGTTTCTCGAGATGGCGCCGTGGCCGTGATTCTCCAGGATTGCGCCCGCCAGGTTTGGGCCTCAGGTCGTCTTCTCTAAGCCACGTTTTCCTATAAAGGGGGGTCTGTGCGTCCCCGAAAGGAGCTGAGGGAGACGGGTCCTGAGAGTTTTCGTCGCCTGGGGCCTCCGGGGCCTCTCCCCGGGCCCCCAGGCCGTCCGAAGGGCTGGTCCTTACCAGTTCGAAACATATCCCGATCCCTATGCTTGATATCATCTTTCCTCGATGCCGATCTTTAGAATGCCCTCAGTTTCTGAGGGCCTGTCCCTAAGATTGTCCTCGCTTTTTGCTCGCCCATCTTAGGGATAGGGATACGTTCGAGGCTGGTTAGGTCCTGGGGAGAGGCTCAGCTGGTCCAGGACCCGTGAATCTCAGGACGCGTCCCCAGACCCCCAACGCCACAACTACTTCGCACTGACGACCCTCAGCGGTCTCGACCCATTCTCCGACACCGGTTCTTTGTCCCGAGACGATATTTGAGGCTGGAAACGTCCAACAACCATCCGGCCTTTTTTTTCACGTTGCCAGGGCATCTTTGCTTGATGCGTGCCGAGCAGGGACATATCCCTCGAGAACGTCCTGACCACCCGCTCGGACCGCGAGGCCACGCCGCAGGTGCGGCTGATCGACTTCGGCATGGCGGGCATCGGCCGTTGGCATCCTTCGTTGCTCAGCCGCACCCCCGGCAAGCCGTACTACAAAGCACCAGAGCTGCACGAGGGAGCTCGGTGGAGGAAGGCTTTGCGATGCTGGCGTCGGATTGTTTCCCTTCAGTTTGGGTCCCAGGGAACCTCACAGATCGATCCAGCTCGAAAAATGCAGCAAAAATATGTGGTCTAGGACTGAGTGTGATTTGCCGCGATGTTGTAACTTTTTTTGCAACGTCGGATCTCAGGTATGGTACAGATTCTGCTGCTCCTCCCTCGTTTTTGTCTTTTGGGGCCTCCTGGAGGGCCCTCGTCGCCACAGCTGGATTCGCTTCGAAATTCTGGTCAGAGCGCACCCCAGGAGAGGTTCGGGGAGGTGCGGTATCGGTACATGTGGTTCTATAGGAGCCACGTACGACGCATACCTCTCGGACAACTTCGCCGTGGGCATAACGCTCTACGCAATGGCGTTGGCGGCGTACCCTTGGGAGAGCACCGAGGCGGGACAGTCGGACTCGTTCGAGCTGGCGCGTCAGGATGGCACGATGGAGTATCTTCGCAGGAGTCATGGGCGGCACGCGTATCCACATCCACGGCGTTACATTCTGGCCTTCCCCCGCCGCGAGCTACGCCGCTGCCCCACGCGGAACTTATCCGTCGGATTGCGTGTCCGTGGGATCGCGCCACGCTGTCCAGACCGCGAGGGCACGTAGATCGACCTGGGCATGCGATGTTTCGCGTCTCCCCATACCGGGGTACCCCAAAAGCCCCGACCGGCTCGCCAGGGCCTGCTTGTCAGCCCGCGTCGCTTTTGATGATGGCCCACGAGGCCCAGCGAGGGCCCCCGGAGGCCGACGACGAGCAGAAATCTGCCGTCGTGGTCTTGGCCACGGCGCGAGCGTGTCTGGGGATATGATGTTCCAACCTACTTTTAGCCTTGGCCACCAGGGCTAATTTCGAGCACCATGAACATACTCGCATTGGAGGGCTTCCACGTGTCGGGCCCTGGGAGGCGATGCTCGTTCGACACTGTTTCGATCTACTTCTCTGGGTGATCGACATTCTTCCTGGGATGTGGCACTTAAGCACGATGGGAGCAACATAAGTCTGGGGATGCCCTCTGCTCTGGACCTCTGGATCTCTGCTCAATTTCACTGTTTGCAGCAGTGCGTCCCATGGGGGAGGGACTCCACCTGCTCGAAACAGATGCCAGAATCAGCCCAGATCTGCCCCATGGGGAGGGGGTGAGGGAAGGGGGGGGTTGCGAGGGCCCGCGCCGATCGGCAAAACAACGAACAACAGAAACGACCACACGTCTCGGGTTAAGTCGGGCCTGTCCCTGTACAGGAGGAATATCCAAAAACAGCGAAAAATAGTCTGGGGACGATGTCTCGAGTATGTTTCGATCATTCTTGGTTACTTTCCGATTTTTTTTTTTGTTTGAAATTTTTCCATCGAAGCTCCCCTTGTACCCAGACCCCGACGTCATGATTGTTTCATGACGCGACCCCCAGAGGTCCAGACCCATTCCCCAGGACCGGTTTTCATCCTGAGTCGTTCTTTGACATTCCTGAGGGCCGGTAAGGGCCCCCGGAGGCCGAAAAGAGCGAAAAACTTCCCGTCGTGATGTTTTCGTGACTCGAGGGGGTCTGGGTCTCTGTGGGCCCCGGAAACGGCAGGGCCGTTTTTTCACCGTTTCCAAAAAAAATGCCCCTTGAAAATGAAAACGGCAAAAAAACGGCGACGGGAAACGTCAAAAAAACGGCTCCAGGATTGGAACCGGGGCCGGAACCCGTCAAAAAACGGCGACGAAAACGGCGACGGAACCGGTAACAAAAATGGCGTCGGAACCGCAAAAACAACTGCAAAACGGAACCGGTAAAACAACGGCCCTGGCGTTTCCAGGGCCCACTAAGGTCTGGGTAGGTGGACAGGCCCGACTTTAGGGGAACAAAAAGTGACATAAACAGAAAAACTCGGAGGTCCGCGCGGATTTCTCGGATCGGCGCTGGGGCCCCCCGGCGGCGCCTCCGGCGCCGCCCCTGGCGCCCGCGGCAGGGGCGGCGCCGCATCCGCGCGCCAGGGAGGGGGGTCCTTCGCCGATCCGAGAAATCCGCGCGGACCTCCGAGTTGTTATGTTTGTGCCACTTTTGGTTCCCCTAGACTTTCGGGGGAGCGTAAGACCCGGGTTTGCCAGGACTCGGGTTCGCCATCGTTTTTTGACGACCGCGCCTCGGATTTTGACGAGGAGGAGTTTCGTGGGATGTCTGCAGCGGGAGGCCTTGTCAAAATGCAGGCCCGGCCTCGTCATTTTTTTGACGACCTCGTCGGGGATTTCCGAGTCCCCTGTACCCAGGTCTTACGTCCCCCCTAGACTGACCTCTGGGGATGCCCCCGCCGCCCGCGGCAGGAGGACGCTCCAGGGCCGCCCGCTGCCGGAGGTCTGCACCGCCGGCCTGCTGCGGCTCCTCGGGGGGCTGCTGGCCGCCCGCCCGGCCGAGCGCAGCACGGCCGGCGAGGCGTGCTTCGAGCCGGAGGGCCGCACATCTCGAGGGGCAGGAAGGGCTCGATCGGGTTTAGCCAGGACCCTGGGTGAGGGGACCTGGTTAGTGGTAGGGCCCTGGGGGGCCCCTCAGTTGGCCAGAATCACGAAACCAGGTTTGCCATATGCTATAGCTGGTGCTTGTTCGGGTGACGGCAGTTCCGCTTAGCGGAAATGGGGCGGGGGGGCGCCCCCGGTACAGATCACTAAACCAGGTTCCGTTAAACCCAGGGGCAGGAAGGGCTCGGGCTCTGTGGGCCCCGGAAACGGCAGGGCCGTTTTTTCCACCGCTTCCAAAAAAAAGGTCCCTTGAAAGTGAAAACGGCAAAAAGAGCCGGGATTGGAGCCGGGGTCGGAACCGATCAACAAACGGCGACGGAACCCGTAACAAAAACGGCGTCGGAACCGCCAACAAACGGCAAAACGGAACCGGTAAAACAACGGCCCTGTCGTTTCCAGGGCCCCTTAAGGGCTCAGGCACGCGGTCGGAGCGAGGTAGAACGTCGAGGTCGGTTGAAGTCGGGCCTGTCCTTCTACAGGAGGCATATGCAGAAACTGTAGAAAAAGCGTCTGGGAACGATGTGGTTGGACTAGTTCGGATTTTGTTTGAATAGTTGTTGATTTTGTTTCATTTGTCGCCCAGAATCCGCATGTAGGAGGACACGCCCGACCTCACGGTCGGTTCGGGGAGGGTGCCTTGATGTTCTCGTCGGGCTTGCTGGGTGTTCTCTCGTGCAACCTTGGAAAGGGGGCACCTCAGGGTGTGCTGCGTGCTTTGGCCGGCGAAGGGTCTCATGGTCTTGACGGATGTTTTCCTACCTCAGGTCCGACCGTAATTTGTCGGAGTTCCCTTCGACATTCAAGCAGTGACGAGGCGTCCTGGCCTTTTCTTATAGGACCGGCAAAGACTGTTCTAAGAGCCTTTTGTGGTTGGCACGGACTGCCCTTAGAACCTGTCTGACTGAGACCGTCTTGTTTTACACATCGGCTCTATGTTCTGAGAACTTTGTTTCTGTTGCTAGAACATTCGTTAGTTCTGAGAACACTGCGCGGTAGGACTATAGGAACGCTGGGACGGCAGGCCCCTGCTCAAGACATCATTTTGTCGGAGTTCCCTCAACCTGCACCGTCCGCACCCCCCGCACGGCGGGTGCCGCGCTCCCGCGGCCCGCGGCCGCGGCGCGGCTGGGTGCGAAGGGTGCAGGCCGAGGGACCGCGCTGCGTCTTTGGATCGGCGCTGGATCGCCCTCCACGGCGAGCGGAGCGCGCCAGGGGTTTGGGCGTCGCGCAGTGAGGGGGCGACAACGGAGGGGGGCAGCGAAGGCTGCAGGAACGGAACCCTCTGGGGCCCCTGAAAGGGGCCCAGAAAGGGGGCCGCAGGGTCCGAGGCGTGCACTTTCGACCGCCCCCTCGCTCCCCCCATGGGTTCCCGCGCGAGGGGCGTCGCCGGAGGCGCCGCCATGGGGCTCCTGGCGCAGGTCTCAGACGTCTGCGCGGACCTCCGAAGGCTTAGGCTTGTGCCTCTCCTGTCTCCTCGAACCTCGGCCCTCGCGTCGCCGTGGCTGCAGAGCACCGGCGGCGGGGACCAGGAGCCGCCGAGTGCACCCAATCCAGATCTCCGACGCACTCGAAGCATCGAGACCAGTGTTTTCCGCCGTGGTCGGCCTCCCGGGGCCTCCGCCGGGCCCCGGGGCGGTGTCGAACAAATACTTCAGGAGGAAAGCCCCTCCCCCGAGACTGCGGCAGACGCCGCGTGGACTGCGGGAATGCTGGGGCGGTCGGTCCCCGCTCAAGTGGACTTGACGTCCAGGCGCTTGCAAGAGCATAGGTGTGTACACTTCCATCTTGGAGCCGGCTGGGGGTCTGCGGGCGGTGGCCCAGAATAGCTGCCGGGCAGCAGGACGGGGGGTAGGCAGTGTCGAGGTTCAGCTCTCGATGAGGGTTTCCCTGTTGTCGGGTCTCAAGGGGCCGTCTTCGGGCCCCGGGATTGTCAAGAAGGGATCTGAGGTGAAAAACTCTACCAAGGACCCCGGGATGGGGTCCGGGGACCGATTTCGAGCGGATTTGCTTTCAACTTTCGTGCTTGACCGATTTTCTCGAGGTCCACTCAGTTCAGACCCGCTAGCCGCCTCCAACAGTAGAGTCGGGGCGCTGAAGAAGGAACCTTTGGCGTTGGGGAAAGGGTCCGTGCTCATTATTTGCTTCACGGTTTGCTTTCGGTTGTCCTTAGGTTTTCGATGGGTAATTCGAAGTTTAACTTATGGCAGAAATGAGACAGCGTTCCTTTAGGTCGTCGCCCCGTCTGTAGGCACCCACGAGAAGAATCCAGGCTGCCAGCAGGTGCCTCACGGTGATCTCTGAGCTCCCGATGGGCCCGCTGAGAGCGTTGGGGCTCACCCTACGAAGCTTAGAGTCGACGAAGGACATGACCCTGGGTCTCTTAAAGCAGGGTCCTTTATTTTACGTCACTCCTCCTCCTCGTCCTTCTCCTCCTACCTCTTCCTTCTCCTCCTCTTCATCCTCCTCCTCCTCCTCCTCCTCCTCCTCCTCTTCATCCTCCTCCTCCTTCATCTCCTCCTTCCTCTCCTCCTCCTCCTCCTCCTCCTCCTCCTCCTCCTCCTCCTCCTCCTCCTCCTCCTCCTCCCTCTTCTCCTCCTCCTCCTCCTCCTCCTCCTCCTTCTCCCTCTCCTCCTCCTTCTCCTCTTCCTCCTCCTCCTCATCCTCATCCTCATCCTTATCCTCATCCTTATCATCATCATCCTCCTCCGATTCTATGTGCCTGCTGTATGGGTCGTTCTGCGTTATGAGAGTCGGCGGCGAGCGAGGGGGCGAAGTGAGAAGGAGAAGGCCTTCTCAGAAGGCGGCGGGGATTCTCAGCAGCGCTCGCGCCTTCTGAGAGGGGCGTTCGGTGCTTCCGGGGAAGGCTCCGAACACTTCTCAAGAAGGCCGGCGGACTGCCGAGCCTTCTGCGAAGGTCCGCCCCTGCTCGCTTCCCCTTCGGGCTCGCCGCCGAGAGAGGAGGAGCTGGAGGCCTGCCAGATGGGCGCCTGCCTCAGCGGGGCCTGCGCGGGGGGCCGGCAGCCGAGCGCGGGCGCCCTGTCCGCGGCTTCGCTGAGCACCATGGCCTCGAAGGACGACGAGGATCAGGAGGGAAAGAAACACACAGACACAATTAATCGTCGATTCCAGAGAAAATATGGAAAAATATGGGAAGTGGGGGGGAAGACAACAAAAAAACAAAAATATGGGCAAATATGGGGTAATCTGTTTTATTTGTGTGTGTGTTTATTTGTGTCCTGGGGCCCCTTCAAGGACGCGACCTCGACCACGGCGGGCCTGGCCGCGAAGGACCCCGCGGGGTCCGAGGCAGTGAGCCCCACCGCTTCCACCGCGTGCGACTCGCCGACGTCGCCATGAGCCCGTGGTGGCCGCTGGGGGGGGAGGGGGGGGACCTGCAGCTCCGACCCAGCCAGCAGCAGCCATGAGGCCATGAGGCCATGAGGCTATGATTGGGTCGGGCATGTCCCTCCACAGGAGGAGGAGCACGCAAAAAACAATCAAACAATCGTGGGCGGCTGATTTCGTCGACTACTTTTTTGATTATTTTTGGGTCGTTCTTGAATCGGTTCGTCCAACGTCCGCCTCTAGCAGGCCATGCCCGGCCCAAGGCCACGAGGGACATCGCAGCGCCCGGGCGCGCGAGCTTCTCGCCGCTTGCCCTGGGCCTCTGGGCACGCGGAGAGGCCGGGGTTTCTCGGCTGTTCTCTCGATTCAAGCAGTGGCGAAGCGTCCTGGCGTGCCTATCGCCCTACCAAACAATGTTCTGAGAACCTTTTGTGGTTTCCAAGAAATGTTCTTAGAACATTTCTGGCTGTGACTGTCCTGTTTTCACACATCGTGAATACGTTCTAAGAACATCATTTTGTTCTTAGAACATTTTCGGGTCCTAAGAAAATTTCGTGGTAGGTTTATAGGAATGCCGGGACAGTCGGTCCTTGCTCAATCGATGTGCCCACGCGCACGCGCGGGCGCCTTCGTCTGCCGCCCGACTGGCCATCGCGCCACGCACCGCAGTGTAGTTCTATCTCCCGCGCCCCTTCGGATAAAACAGCTCCGCGCGCAACGTTATCGCTTCAATCTGTCTGTTCTGCTTTTGCCTGCGACTGCAGGCCTGCCTAATTTGGCCTCTTGGCCAGCGCGATGCGATGCGAATGCTGTTCGCGGCTTGCACCGCATAATGATATCCAGTCTGATGCGGTTCGACCTCCGCTTCTGGTTCCGCGTTCAGCGCTCCGTTTGCCAACAAGGGCACTCTGGGATGAGCCTCGTGGCTAGAGTCCGAGCCGCTGACGAACAGAGTTGTGAATTCAGATTGCCCGCACACTGGGTATGTACAGAGTTGCCCATTTATCTTTTGATCCAGCCGCGCTGCCGAGTGCATCCTCCATTGCGGTGTGCGGGTCGGCTGGGGGATAGATATTATCGAATTACGTTCTCTGCGTCATGGATGTTGCACCCCGAAAGTCGAAAGCCAGGAGCTCGGAGCAACCAGCAGACGTTTGTGGGACTCGATGCGCGCGGGGGTCGCTGACCACCACTGCATCGCAAGGAGCAGCATTAAATTTCATAGCATTTGGGAGGCCTGACACGCACCAGCCGCGGAAGAGTGCGGGAGCAGATCTACCCTCCAGGGACACCGTTGAAAGTAAGCACCTTCTCTTGCCAAGGAATTTCATGGTAGCGGCACATCTTTTCGTAGCGGTGCTGGCTGTCGCACGTCACGGAAGGGTTGAGATTGGGCCACCAAAGGTGACACATTGCACACCAAGAGAGCTGGGGAAAGAAAGAGGGACAGGAGCGTTTGGGACATGTGAACCTTCACGTATGCGTGGTGTGGCGCTGTGAGCAGTATATGCAGCTGTGTGCTGTTGTTGTTGTTCTTGCTCCAGTGGCCTCAGGCCCTCGTGGCAGGGACCTGCCTGGCCTCGGCCAGGGGGGCGTGCACTCCGTGAGCCATGGCCAACGGTGGCTCTGGCCATGCGTGGACATGATGTTCGGCGGCGCGCCCCGAGGGCCTTCCTTGAAGGCTCCTCCTCCTCCACCTCCTCCTCCTCCTCCTTCTCCTCCTCCTCCTCCTCCTCCTCCTCCTCCTACCCCTCCCCCTCCCCCTCCCCCGCCTCGTCCCTTCCTTGAAGGCTCATCTGCGAAGCTTTCTTGAGCATTCTCCGAGGCCAAGCCCCGCCGCCCTCTGAGAAGGCATGCTCCCCCCCCGCGCTTCCCCCTCTGCGCGCCTCCCGCGGGCCCCGCTCCCAGCGACGGCCCCGACGCAGCCACCAGTGCACCCGCGCGCCCTCACGCTGGCGGGCAGCTCCTGTCTCCGTGGCACGTCGGGGGGCCCTTCGCGCGTGGCGGGGCCGCCTGCCGCCTCCTTCGCAGGCCAGCGGAACTGCAGGGCCTCGGGCTGCGCGCTGTTTTGCCAGCGGCGAGCGTGCTTCACCTGCGGTGCGAGGGAAACGCATTTCCATACATCAGCTTTCGGAGGTCCGCGCGGATTTCTCAGATCCTCGCTGCCCCCCCTGCAGCGGCGCCTCCGGCGCCGGCCCTGGCACGCTCCGCGCGTCAGAGAGGGGGCCCGGCGCCGATCCAAGAGACGCGCGCGGGCCTCCAGACGTGTACCAGCCGATCCCCATGTGGGAGCACATGGCTAGCGGAAGACGTCGGGTGCGCCGCCTGAGACGGCGGCGAGCCTGAGGAGGGCTCGCATGATACTCGGGACGACCGACACGGGTACGGAAAGATTGGGTACAATGATCAGCAGCAGTTCCTGTCCATTTTGAACTGGACTCTCTGTCCGCGCCACCGCGGCCTCTGTCCATTCGAGGCAGAAGGCCGCCTGCCCAACAGCGGCCGCTGTTGGTTTGGGACAACATTTGCTGTTGGGCATTGTACCCATTCTTTCCGTACCCATTGCGGGCGTCCACAGATACGCGATCGTCGCATTACTAAACTTTTTCTTTCTTCCCCTGGTCTGATCATCAGTCCCCATCCCCAGCCTAGCCAAATCCCTGTGATTGGCATCGCCCTGGCTACTTGCCATATACTGCAATCCAATTCTCTGGCGCAATACACTTGCAAACCAGTTGCCTCAAATCTATGGCACCACCCCCTCTTCAGCCGGACCCCCTTGTGGGCCACCCGGACGTTCGTGTCTCCATGGATCTGTGGTTGGAGCGGCAGTCCTTGCCCTTGCTGGCTCCCGGGGGCGCCCTCAGAGCTCCCGCGCTCTCGCGGAGGGCCCCCGAGGGCTCCTGCGGGCCCGAAGCGGGGGGAACGCGGGCGGGGAAGGTTCCCCCCACTGGGGGGGCACGTCGGGGAAACGTCGGGTGGGATCTTCCCCGCCCTGACGGCTCTCGAGGCCCCCCCCTCGTCGTCGTCGTCGCCGTCGTCGTCGTCGTCGTCGTCGTCGTCGTCGTCGTCGCGGCCGTTCCCGGTGTCGTTGCCGTTGCCGTTGCCGTCGCCCTCGCCCTCGCCGTTGCCGTCGTTGTCGTCATCGTCGCCGTCGCCATTGCCCTCGCCATGGTCGTCGTCAATATCGCCTTCGCCGTCGTCGTCGTCGCCGCCGCCGCCGCCGTCGTCGTCGTCGTCGTCGCCGCCACCGTCGTCGTCGTCGTCGTCGTCGTCGTCGTCGTCGTCGTCGTCGTCGTCGTCGTCGTCGTCGTCGTCGTCTTCGGCGCTGCCGTCTTCTCATAAGAGCGCTCCTGGTGCAACGAGGTGCCAGGCCCCCCCACCCTGCGCTAGCTCGGCGCCGGAAGGCCCTCCCCGAGGGCTGCTGCGGGCTCGAAGCTGGGGATCTTGGGGAGGGAGCTTCCGCCCCTCCAGGGGTAGCTCGGGAGGGGGCCCGAAGCTGGGGATCTTGGGGATGGAGCTTCCCCTCCTCCAGGGGTAGCTCGGGAGGGGAGCTCGAAGCTGGGGATCTTGGGGAGGGAGCTTCCCCCCTCCAGGGGTAGCTCGGGAGGGGAACTGGGGGGGGGGGAGCTGGTGGCTCCTGCCGAAGGCTCCCGCCGAGCGAGGTCCGTCCCCGAGTGCCGAGCGCCCCCGGTCCCGCCCCCCCCAAGTTCCCCCCTGCCCGTGCCCCGCACCCCTGAAGAAGAGCACGCAGCACGAGCTCCCACCCCGCCCGAGCTCCGTGCCCCAGCCCCGGGCTCCCCCGCTCAGTCCCCCGAAGTCCCCCCCCATCCCCCCCCCCCTCAAGCCCTCCCATCGAGCCGCCCCCAGAGTTCCCAGCCCTCCCAAGTCCCCCCTCCCACCACCCCCCTTTTGTGGCGCCCCCCCGAGCCCCCCCCCGCCTCCGCCCCAATTCCGCCCAAAGTTCTCACCACTAAAATCGAAAAAGTAGTCACCCCCAGACATGCGACGTCCTAAATTTTCCAATGCGAGGGCTTTCCCCAGGGCTGGTTTTTCGTCCTGGTCGTGTTTTTGACGGCCCCGAGGCCCAGCGAGGGCCCCCCGAGGCCGAAACTGGCCAAGAACCGCCCGTCCTGATTTTTGTAACGACGCGACCATGTCTGGGACAGTTCCCCCCTTCACCGCATGGCGGCGTGTCGGCGGCGGCGGCGGCGGAATCGGCCACGGTGGCGGCGGCGGCGGCGGCGAAGTTCGCAGGCGGCGGCCCTCGACGCGCCGGGCGCCAGCGCGGCGACGGCGGGTGCCGTGCCGGCGCTGGGCGCCAGCGGCTCCGCCGCGCAGGTGGCGCTCGCGTCGGCGACGTGTCGTGGTCGTAGTCGTCGTCGCCGCCGTCGCTGTCGGGCTCGGCCGAGCAGGCACGGACTGCCGCCGACGTCGTCGCCGTCGCAGTCGTCGCCGTCGTCGCCTGGCGTCGTCGCCGTCGTCGCCGTCGCCGTCGCCGTCGTCGTCACCGTCGTCGTCGGCGACGTCGTCGTCGTCTGCTTCGTCTTGGTCTTCGCCAGGCATGCGCCGGGGGGGCGGCCGTCGTCGTCGTCGTCGTCGTCGTCGTCGTCGTCGTCGTCGTCGTCGTCGTCGTCGTCGTCATCCGCCGCGGCAGTCGTCGTCGACGCCGTTTCGAAGACATTCGGGGCGCTCCTAGAGATTCTCGCCGCCAGGGGCGCAGCTCGAAAAGGTGATCAGGGATAGACCCCGCATGAGGGGCCCAGGGTCCGATTCTGTCCAGATTTCGGTCGTGGTCGTCCCCGTGGCCGCCTTCCTGCCGGATTGCCGCCGTGGAGGGTGGAGCGCCGAGGATCCGAGCTCCTCGGCCACCGCTTCGCGAGGATGCCAGGCCTCGACGGAGGCTCGGCACTCACAATCACGGACGACCAGATGGCCCGGCGCCTCTGCGGGCCCCAGGCGAGGAGGATATGGGAGCACCGCTGCGAGCCACGCGCAAGGAGGAAGATCGA